TCCAGAAGCATTTTTACCAAGTTTGCGGAACGTTTATAACCGATCAGTTAAGACCATCACTCTCTCTCATAATTCTCATATACGCTCCATTTTTCCAGCACAGGTATAATGAAGGAAGGGGTGATGACTAAAATTTCTACCTGCCACAAAATTATTACAATCTCCAGGGCTTTATCAGGTGCAAAGAAAAAGGTAGAAGCTGAATTAACTTCCTTAAGTCTTAGAATCAGACTTAACTTCCCGCATGATTCTCAATCGTGATGTTGCACTGGCTGCATATAGAAGGATGTGATGGGACTAGCAAAGGCTGTAGCTGCATAATCAAAATTGCAGACCCTCCTTGACATGGAGGACTAGCAAGAGGGACATGGCGTTTTTGGTAGCGGTCACACTGCTGCTGAAACCTATCCCTGAGACGTTGCACCCGTGCACATTTCTTACTCTGTGGCTGCCACGCAAGATGGCGAAATAAAAGGGAGGCTGCCAATAAGGACCAAGCATCATTTGATGTTATTTCCAACATAACAGCTGTTTAATGGAGGTAGATCACACTGCTGGGCTGAGTCATCAGGATGCAAGTCACTGAGTTAATGAAATTCTGAGCAATGGACACACATGCCTGACCGGAACTGGCTCCATCAGGCATTAATTAATTAATCCTATGAAGCATTTCTTTTCATCTGCATCTGCTCTGATGAGGAATAGAGTTGCAATTGCAGCCGACATTCTGAATGTCAAAGCACCCTGTGATTTGAGTAAGAATTTAGGCATGAGGACTGGCCTAGAATCATGTAGAACTAGGCATACTTCTACCGTCATCTATAGCTGGGAGTCTTCTTTGCCACTGTTGTGGATAAAGTGCAACTATAGTACAACTTTCCCCATTTCCATCTTTCTGTGACATAAAAATGCCCTGGCACCATGTTTCTTCCGCTGTGTCCCCATAGTGTTATGCCCTTATCTTAGTCCACGAGTGAGGTGGACTTCAATCAGCCTTAGCTGAATTAGCATTAAAGTAGTGTTTTCCCTCTTAATCCAACAGCATACAGCAACAGCCAAAAGGTGTGTAAAATTTGTTATGCGTTGAGTATATGCTGGAGTTTAAGTCAGGGGATCAGTAGTAGATGGGACTAGGGAGGCACTTTTTGACTGTTGATGTGGGCACATTTCTACCCTTCAGTCCCCACTATCTTCTGGTCTTGGCTGCTGCTATCTTCTTTGGAGTCCTCTGCTGGTGGTCTTTTGGATTTGTGCAAGAACAGCCGAGATGCATTTTTTTTATTAGGGAATTTTTTGGCAACTCTGCTCTAAATGCATGTAAATGTTTCCCTACTGCAAACAGGTCTACCTGTTTGATCTAAAATGGTATATAGATGTTGGAATGGTGAAGGCAAAAGGTATCAGTAAATGTGTACCAGAATTGTGCAGTATCACCCGACTAATCAGTGACAGAAAGGTAAAGTGCCTTGATTTTATAGTGGAAACATAAAAATGATGGAAAGATGGGACCAATCCATCCCTCCCCCCCCCACCCCACCATCACCTCTCAAACAGAACGTGCAGGAATCTGAAAGTCACACGTATTCCCTATATACTGAAAGGAGAGGAAGGGAAGTCGTAAATAAGTGTTGCTTGTGAAACAACTCCCTTTATGTCTCCATTTTTTTTTTTTTTTAGTTATTCAACTTAGATTAAGGCAGAACTGGATGTAAGAGGGGCAGTATAGGAAGGTACTTAGACATGAAGGATGGAGTCCTGCAGGAAAACCTGTTCCATACCTACTATAGTCCTGTAGTTACTGGATGCTTTTCCCACTGAATGGTGACAAACTGATAAGGGAAGACAGCAAAGTAGGGAGAATCAATCAATCACTTTGCTTATCAGACACTGGATATGCAAAATCAGTCAGGACAGCTCCATTCAGTAAAGACTTGGTTTACAGGTAGTCCCCAGATTAAGAACGTCCAGTTTAAGGACGACCCATAGTTAAGAATGGAGCAGAATTTGAGTTAAATACACAATGGTTTGAGTTCATTATGTAATACTACTTATACAGTATTATACAATAATACTGTTCTGGCTTACATAAAAATTTGACTTAAGGACAGATCTTTGGAACAGAACTTGTTCTTAAATTGGGGACTATCTGTATACACAATAGAGATAGAGTAGGGAACATCAATGGGAGTAACATTCTGGAATAATTTTCTGTCAACTGAAATGTAGAGAGTACTTTAATTCAACAGTAGGGAAAGGCTTTTATGTGTAACATGTATCTGTAAATCACCTAATCAGATCATAAAATGAGAGTGATATAGGTGTCTGTGATCCGGAGGTAATAAACAGATATATATTTTGAGCTCATCCATGAAATACTTTGCTTTTAGTGCATTTCTACTTTGTAAATACTTTGTTTTCAATGTAATAAAAACATTGCACGAACTGGTCTTAGATTTCTATTCCTTGATTTAGGATCACTGGAAGATGACTTACAACATTTTCCCCCAATCATATGTATAGGGTCTCACTTCCCATTCTTCAAAGCCAGCACAAACTGGTAGCATTAATAATCTTCCATGAATCTGTCAGGTTCCCCTTTAAAGCCATCTAAGTTGGTGACAATCATTACACTTTTTCTAAAGAATCTGTTTCTCTTAAAGGATGAGAAAGAGAAGGATGAGTTTCTGAGGATGATCTGTGTCCGAACATCCAGTTGTTCCATGCAGTGCATAATTTCATCAACTCTCTCAACCCCTCTTCTTTTTTTCTAAGCTAAAACTCCCAAATGCTGTACCTTCCTTTGCTGAATGACAGATAATTTGGGCTACCCTTTTCTGCATTTTTTCCAGTTCTGCAATATTCTCTTCAAAGCAGAGCTATCAAACTGCACACAGAATTCCAGGGTGGTCCCACCATTACAGTTGATGAAAGTATCACAATAGCCTTCTCCAAGCTACTACCATTGGGTTTTCTGGCTGAGGATGATAGGAGATGAGGTCTTAAGTATCTCAAGAGTTTCAGGTTGGGAAAGGCTGCATTAAGATACAGGGAGTTCTCTTTTCATTTTACAGGTAGTCTTTGCTTAAGGACCATTTGCTTGGCGATTGTTCAAAGTTACGACAGTACTGAAAAAAGTGACTTATGACCAGTCCTTGCACTTGCAACCATTGCAGCGTCCTCGTGGTCATGTGATTGCAGTTTGGGTGCTTGGCAACCGTCACATATTTATGATAGTCACAACATTCTGCAGTCACATTATCGCCATTTGCAACCTTCCCAGCTGGCTTCCAAGAAGCAAAATCAATGGGGAAGCTGGCAAGAGGTCACAAGTCGCGGTCGCATGATGTCTCACTTAACAACCTCAGGTGACGCACTTAATGACCACAACCTGGACTGCTGGAACTGCCATTGCTAAGTGGGGCAGTCATGTGATGTTTCACTTAATGTCCACTTTACTTAGCAATGGAGTTGCTGGTCCCAGTTAGGGTTGTTGAGCATGGACTACCTGAATGTCCTAATGGTGCCCAGCACAGAAGTTCTACAGAAGAACATACACATGGTTGATTTTTCCACTGATGATGACCCATCTATGCCAAGACAACCTTTGGGCCTCTATTGCTGCCAGCAGATAATTTCCAGGGATCCGGAGAACTCTGCCATCAAGTCTCTTGTGAATGTAAGGCTTCGTGTTCCAAGATCCAGTGTGACAAAATCATAGGTTCGTGGATTAAATTTTCTTTGGTGCCCCTTTCCTCAACCCCTTCTACTCTTTTAACTAGGTTTTTGTGCTATGCTAAGTCATGATTTGTTTAACCATGATTAATAAAAAAAACACAATTGGGTGGGTTCAGGCCACATCCTCCACCATAAACTGCATCTTACTGAAGGGATCAATATCTAAACTGGCAATGAATCAATATCTAAATTGGCAATGTTAACTTCATAGCTTTAGAGTATGTGCAGAGTTCTCTATAGCCAAGCTTAAATACTAACAGCGTTTAGTGAAACTGCAAGAGGAAGCAACTAACCACAGATGAGCTAGCTCAGATAATAGCCTCCTGAAGAGACTAAGTCTGAGGCCTGATAAGGAAGGAGGACACAGAACAAGGGTCTGCAGGGACTGACAAGGTATAAGAGTTAGGGGGAACTCCTTTAAATTAATGTAAGCAAACAAGGGCGGGAAATAATGTATTCTGCTAAAGTTTCTTTGACTGGCTGTAAAACTCATCTTCATTATAATGGTAATAAGTTCTACCCTTTTAAAAATACTATAAAAAAGCTGTGTTTTTGTCTCCAAGGGTATGCCACCCTGCTCTCTCTTGGTGCATGGTGTGAGCATCCAGCCTTTTGTCTGGCCAAATAAAACGCTGCTCAGAGAAGTCCCTGCTTGAAGTCTTTTATTTTGCGCTGCTGATTGATTTCAAGTTTTCTGGGTAGCTGTGAACCTTACATTACAGACAACAATGGGTGGGTCACACACGTTCATTCTTAAATTTGGGATTCATAAAGAATGCAAACGGACTGCGCTGATTATGGTATTCCAGGGATTATGGAACCCAGGGATTCAATGACTGTTCATACAATATGCTCAATGGGGCCAAGGTTTGAGGGCTGCATTTGCACATGTTAAAATTGGATGGATGGTTGATTCATTCATTCGTTCATTTGGAAGGGGGTGTTCTGGCAGGGTATCAACCCAGCCCGGTTGGTTAGTTTATGGCACAGGTACTGTGTGAACCAAGAACACGAGTTAATAACCGGGTAAAGCGTGCTGGGTGAAAACAGGCACGGCCCCCCTGGGCTGCTCGAAGGAAGGCATCGCCGCACATTCATCGACAGCGGCTACCGGGCCCCAGGAAGTTTTCTTGCCGAATCCGTCCGGAGATCCCAACTGCATTGCAGCATTCCCCGCCTTCTCGCCTGCCTCCTCCTTCCGTTCTGACGACCCGTTGTGGCCGGGAGCCAAAAGAAGGCCGAGCTGCTGGCCACCCCGGTGACGTAGGACAGGAAGAAAAATGCGGGCGGGGAAGAGAGGAAGGGTGGCAATGAACGGGGGCTTCTTGCTGGTTCTCCCGAGGCCGCGGGGCGCGTGCAGAGCGCCGGGCTGCTCATCCCCCGCGTGAGTCAGCCCCGCTCCTCACGTGCTGGCGCCGCTGCGCGCTCGGAGACTTAGGAGGCGCGGCGGCTGGCGGCGGGCGCACTTTGCTACTGCGCGGCCCGCCTAGAGCCTCCGCCGCTCGCAGGCGCCCGCCCGGATCGTGAGTCTCTGCAGCAGCGCCCCTCCGTTGCCCTCTCGCGGAAGAAGCCCCGCATCCTCGCCAGCCGGGAACGGCGCCCTGCGCAAGATGAGAGCCGCGTTCCCCGCGTGTCTGCTGGCCGTGCTGGCCTGGGCCGTCTCGACCGAGGGCAAGGTGGTGGGGAAGGACGACGCGGGCTTTGCAGAATGCGACGTCTTCTTCTACCAGCAGGCTGCCCCCGGGGGCTTCCCGGGCGAGCAGGTAGCCAAGATCTGCCAGAAGTACAGCCGGGAGCCGCGCTTCGCCACCCTCTACAGCACGCAGGAGAAGATCCCGCTTTATTCGGCTTTCCGGTACAGCGAAGGGGGCCCCTCCGGGGACGAGGAGAGGTGGCTGGTGGAGCCGCAGGTGAGCCTCTCGGCGGCCAAGCGGGACGTGGGGCGGAGGGCAGGGGAAGCCGTGTCG